CCCTCGGAGGGCGCGATAGAGACTTAGCGGTGGCCCCATCCCAGCCGCCGAGTTGTTTGGTAACTTCCCGCCTTGGTGGCTGCCACTCCGCGCAGGCCTGGGCCTAGGCTAGGGATGGCTCCATCGTGCCCGCTGCCTGCCCGCGAGGGTGTAAGAGGCACCCTGGCCGTTTCTCTCTCCTGGGACCGGGGAGGCCTCGAGGTGCTGCCCTCCCTCCCTGCTCCCTCCCCATGCCTTGAGGGCCCAGTGGCTCCCCCGCCTCGCCTCCCGACCTGGCCCTCCAGTCCCGCCTGGAGCGAAAGGCCCTCCTCTGTGCCAGTCCCCGGTGGGGTGGTGCTGGGCACACAGTAGGATGGCGAGTGGGGAGAGTGGAGACAGACGGGCAAGTGTGCATGGCAAGTGCTCCACTGGGCTCAACCCAGGGAGGCTCCCCGGAGGAGGTGACCTTCAAGATGGGCCTGAGGTCATGCACGAACCAGAAGATGGGGCACAGGTGTGCAGGGAGGAGGAGAGGCGGGGGCTGCATGCTGAGCTGCCTGGTGCCTAGATCCCGCCTGAGACCACCCACCGAGGACCACACTGCCGGCTGCATGACCGCCCCGACCGCCCTCGTCTGTGCCACCTCAGTCCCAGGACGCCTTTCCCATCGAGTGTTTTCATTGTGGGTCCTGGCTTTGCCCACCTGCTCTTCTCTCCTGGGGGCCTCCTTCCATGTCTCCCTCCAGCTCACTTTCTCCCTGCCCGCCTCCCAAGGCTTCCATTAAACCCCCAACTCCCCCCCCCCCCCCCCCAGCCCCCCTCTCCGCTGTCCAGATCTGCTCACTTTCTCAGACACCCGGGAGCCTGTCCTCTGGCCTCCTGCCCGGCTGCCTAAGGCCAGTCCCGGGCGCGAACAAGACCCAGGCCTGGTGGGTGACACCTGGAGGCCGAAGAACCTCTCGGCCTCAGTTTCCTCATCTGCGAACTGGGGACAGCAGTGCTGACGGGCCTGGCTTGTGCGGAACAGCCCGAAGCGATCGGGACGGCCCCCTCCTCCCCAGGCAGCACACAGGAAGTGCCACAGTCTAGCGTGATCCCCAGTCGAGCCACGCCCACGCCCAGATGGGGCGAGGGAGATAGCGGGTCTGCCAGCCGCTGCATGGGGCTGTTTGTCAAAAGGAAGGACTTACCCAACCTGGTGTCGCAAGGCGCTGGGTGCTGGGTGCGGCGCTGGGCACCCGTTGTTTTGATAACAGCCCTGGGAAGGGGACGGGTTTGCAGTTACTGTCCCCAAAGGAGACTTGGGGACACGGAATTCCATAGAAAGTGAGGACTTTAGCCAGAGCTGGGTGTAGACTAGACACTCAGACCTCAGGGTAGGGTGTGAGGAGGGGCCGAGGCTGGCAGGGAGGGGGCACTGCTGCTGGACGCGCGTATAGTAGGGTGGGGTGCACCCCAGGGCCACGCCGGGTTCTGTGATGCCGGAGGCGCCACCACGTGCGCTGGTGGGTGGTGCAGTGCCCTGGCCTCTGGCCCCAGGTCCGCCCCTGGGCCTTCGTCACTCCCTCCCCCAACCCGAGGTCCCTCCCCCAGGTGACGGAGCCCCAACCACCGCACCCAGCGGCCCTTCCCGGGACAGGCCCCTCCTCCGGCCGCCTCCCAGGTAAGAGCAGGTCTGGGGCTTGGGGTTGGTGGCCTTGCCCCCCAGCCCTGGCATCCGGTTCCGCGGCTGGGCAGCTCCACCCCTTCCCAATTCCTTTGGGCCCCTGGGCTCTGGGCTGCGAGTTCCTCCTGCGTCCTCCCGGGTGTGGGGCCGGGACTGCAGCTCCCAGCCCACCCCAGGCACCCGCAGCCCCGGGAGGGTGTGAGGGGCCGGCGGGAGGCGGGTCACGAAGGCTGGCACCCCTGACCTCCAGCAGGGAGTGGGGAGTGGCAGGGGGCAGCTGCTCACGCCCCTGGGCGAAGCGGCTGGTCCTGGGCACTGGGCGCTGCGCTCAGCAGACTCACTGCCTGAAAGGCCGCACCCTGCCTCTCCCTGGCCTGGCTCAGGGCTCAGGAATGGTGCACCCGGAAACTCACCGGACCTGCCCCGCCTGAAGCAGGGTGCCAGGGCGCCGCGTGCCCCCAAAGTCAGTCCTGGCCAGTGCCCAGGTGAGCCCCCTCCCCCGGGGGAAGGCTGCTGGGCCCAGGCCTTAGCTTCTCGCTTCTCCCACCTCCCACCTCCCTGCTCCTCCCACCCCACTCCCACGGCTGTCCTGTCTGGAGAAGGGGTGTGGGGAGGCCCGTGGAGCTGGGCGTGGGAGGGTCTGGCTGAAGGACCATCTGTGCCCTCCACCCGTTTCCGGGCTGAGGGTGGAACCCCTCCCATCCTCTGCTGTGAAGGGGAAGGGGCTGGGATTGCGTGGGGGCCTGGACACCCCCAAGCAGGACCCTGTCTGGGCACAGTCCCCGCCGGACCTGCTCTGCCTGGGCACCGCCCCCCTCACCCCAGGAAGCGCCCTGAGC